CCTTCTGTGAAAGTGTTCTCAGGCAAGAGTGAACGCAGCTCCTCTGGGCTGCTGGAGTGGGAATCCAAGAGTGATGCCCTGGAGACACTGGGCTTCCTGAACCATTACCAGATGAAAAACCCCAAATGGGCCATATCCATACACCCTGAAGTTGTGTTTCTCCACTGCTCAGCATGCCTCCTAATTAGGTGTCCAAGAAGATTCCCATCAGAGCAGGAAAACCAATTTTTGTTTTTTGCCGTTTCTTGTTTTTAGGTTGCTTTCTCTTTTGTTTGGTGGGTTTGGCTCTTTTTTTGGTGTTTTTATTCCCCTCCCCCACAGAAGTTCTTGTATTTCTTTTTTTAATACTAGGTTAGTAGAGGCTTAACCATAACAGAAATGCCGGCAGTCTTGAGGGGGTGGGGAAGGGGAACTGATATCTCCCAAGATTAACTTTCACTTAAAAAAAAATTATTGTACATGTGAATTTTTTTTCCTTTTTCTTCCTCCCTCTTCATACATTTGTGCTATTCATGTACTCTTGGCACATTTCAATAAAATTGTTTGGAAAATAAAAAAAAAAGATAAATATTTTTGTTGTTATTTGCCATCAAGTTGCCTGCAACTCATAGTGACCCTATGTACAACAGCCCTATACCCTGTTCTATCCTGAACCAACCTTATTGTCTCTGACACATCTACCCCCATTATACTAGTCACTTGAGTCAATCTATTTCATCAAAGTCTAACTCTCCTGAGCTGTCCCATCAGCCTTCCAAGCATGATGTCCCTCTCCAAGGACAGGTCCCTCCTTGCAACATGCCCAGATTATGTAAGATAGATTTTCAGACCTCTCTAGGGTGAATCTGTTTGTTCTCTTAGCAGTCCATGGTGTATTCAATATTCTTCTCCAGCACCACAGCTGAAAGGCATCATTTCTTCTATCATCCCTATTCATTGTCCAGCTTTCTGATGCAAAGTAAGTAATTGGAAGACCATGGCATGAATCAGGTTCACCTTATTCTCCAAACTGAAATCATTGCTCTTCAGTACTCTGAAGATGTCTCTAACAGCAAATTTTCATCATGCAATCATTCTAGTAGACATCATTAATATTCAATATATTTTATAGATATGTTAACATTTAGTAATTTTTTCCCATCCATGATATATTTTCAACTATTAAAAAGTTCAATTTGCCGATGGCTTTGAAATATTTCCTTTTTCTTTTCCAGCCCAAATAGCTTGAATTGATGATTTCACACACATTTATCTCTGAATATGTCTCCTAATCTTTGATTTTATTTAAAAAAAAACTACTTTTCAGAGCTGAAACATATGATCTTAGTACTCCCAGAATGGTTAAAGCAAAATAGTATTAACACTAGTAGTTTCTGTAATGTAATGTAAAATATTCTAGATTTATATTACCCATGTAAGTTGCATTTTCTGAATTTTAATTGTTTGCTGACAATTCTTTGGAGTAAGGTTACTTTTATAGGAGACAAAATGAAAATGTTGGGAAAATATTAAGATTTCTTTTTTCAGAGGTCAAAATCACCACCACTGGACCAATAGGTAACATTATGACAGATGGAGAAAAGATTGAAATTGTCATTGCTATTATTTTACTTGAATCCACAATCAACATCCTTGGCACCAATGTTGATTGCTTTTGAGTCTAGCATGACTTATAGCGACCCTATGAACAAAAGGCCTGAAGACCCTCTACAACTATCAACATTTATCAAAGCTCATTGAGTTTCTGGAGCATGTTGTTTAGGAAATAGAGTAGACATGAGATAAGGAGACTTATTGCATTGGGTAAATCTACTGTCAAAAACCTTCAAAGGTAGTAAGGAAAAATAATGTCAATTAGAAAACTAAGATGTGCCTTATTGAGGCCATGGTCTTTTCAGTCTCTTGCTATGCATCTGAAAGTGGGTAGTGAATAAGGATGACAGGAGAAAAATATCTATGCCTTTGAGTTGCATGTTGGATAAGAGTACCAAACATCCAATTGGCTGCAAAAAGAATGAACAGATGTGTCTTAGGGAAAGTGCAGCCAAGGTACTCCTTGGAGGCAAGATAGGTGAAGCTTTGTCTCATACACTTTGGGCATGTTGTTGGGGGGACTTTCCCTGAAAAAGAGAACCATGCCTGAGAATGTGGCAGGTCAGTGAAAGAGAGGAGGACTCTCAACAAGATGGATTTAAACAGTGATTGCACCATGGACTCAGATATGTCAGAAATTACCAGGATGGCCCAAGATAGATCATGGTTCTGTTGTTCATTATGTTCTGTACTCAACTCCATGACATCTAGCAACACAAACAATATATAAGTGGCTCATTATTCTTTTTAATGGAAAGATACAGGATAATTATTTTTAATAACACTCTGTGTTTGAAATACCACAAAATAAACTTTTGTAATTTTATTTTGCACAATTGGGTTGCATATACAACTTGATAGGAATGTTTGGAGTATTAAGTTTCTCATGCAATAATTTGTTTCCTTTCTGCTAAATAAATCCTGACCTAAAATAGAAATATATGTTATAGTTTAGTAGTGAATAAAAAAATAGCTTATTATTGCTGTTATTATGTGCAGTTGAGTCACCTACAACCCATAGCGACCCTATGTACAGCAGCTCTGAAGCCTGCCCTGTCCTGAGCCAGTCTCACTAATTCCAACACACCAACTCCATTGCTCCAGTTACTATATCATTCCACCTCATCTAGGTCTTCCTTTCCTGCACTGTCCCTCCACCTTTCTGAGCATGATGTCTTTCTCCAAGTACTGCTCTCTCCTGGCCATGTGCCCAAAGAATGTGAGACAGAGCTTCAAAATCCTAGCCTCCAAGGAGAAGCTTGGTTTCACTCTCTAAGATAGACCGATTTGTTTTCTTGGAAGCTTATGGTATTTTCAAGACTCTTCTCTAGCACCACAACTAAAAGAAATTGATTCTTCTTCTGTCATTCTTAGTCATTGTCCAGCTCTCTGATGCATAACAGGTAATTGCGAAGACCATGGCCTGGATTTGTCACACCTTAGTCTCTGGACTGACATCATTGCTTTTCAGCACTCTGGAGAGGTCCATGACTACAGATTTTCCCAATGCAATTTGTCTTTTGATTTCCTAACTGCTCGTATAAAAAACGGAAATAATTAAAATGAATGTGGCAGATGTTTTATAGAGACTACTTTTTATATAAAATACTTTGTATATATTTTTACTCTGTTCCCCCAAGTGAGTTATCATATAACATTTTTGTCAAATCGTATGAAGTATTGATGCAATATTAATATTACTAAAATGGAAATAATTAGTTTTCATTTCACAAGTAAACCTAATGAAAAATTAAATTTGGAAATTATGAAATACTGCTATCATCTATGTTGTGTATACACTTATAGACAGTAAATGAACCAGGCACAAAGTTTACAAATTTTATTATTCCATTTATATTAAATATTTACAATAAACACATAAACACACAAAGACTGTTGAGTGACAGCTGAAGTTAAGGAGTGAAGAGAAGTGATTGTTTAATGAGTATGGGAAGCTTTTTACAGGTGAACAATGCATATCATTGTGAATGTAGTGAATAGCATACTTAAAAGGGTTAATTTATGTTAGGTGACTTCACTTCAACTAAAATAGTAATAAAGAAAAAATTAGTTTAGTTTTCATCATTTATTTCCTTCCTATGAGCCTCTCCATGAAAATGGCTTTCATTACTAATGTTCAAAATTCTTTTATTTTTCTGCTTACAGTTTCTTTCTTTATTGGATTAACACTTTTTGCATATTCTAGATGATAGGTTATTAATGATGAAGAAATATGCAAAACTAAGTCAGAGAGTTCTTCAATAAAGGAACAAAAACTGGGAGATATTGAGTATAATTTTTTTAAATAGAGGGAAAAATGTTGAGTTTTAAATGTTATATAGACATTTTTACTTATCATTAAGTGAAAATTGCTATAAAGACAGAGACCATTCCTCTTCATTGATTAATGCCTACAACACTATTTAGTATTTAATAAGCTTTCTTTAGTTATTTATGATAGTTGTTAAATAATAAATAGAGGAAGTGTGAAAAATTAGAATATAAATAACTTGGAAATTTCATTGCTCACATTTTATACATTTTGCAAGTTGATAATTAAAAAAACTGAAATTATTTATATGGTTTGTAGACATTGTATACACTTCATACTTCATAAATCTAAATAAAATACCTTTTTAATTTACGAAAGTTTTCTAACAGTCATTTAAGTCATAGATATTATGACTATTCATCTTCAGTGACTTTTTTTTTTACAGAGTTGCTTATTTTTAAATATACCTTTTTGGTTTTTAGAATACTACCTTTTTGTTTTCTTCCTATTCACTGTTTGTTCCATCATAGACTTTCATGGGGTAACAACTTGTTCCATCCCTCCTAACATTCGGTTGCCCAGTGATTGAGACTTAACTCTTCTGTATTTAGTTCTAATTTTTTCAATTTCATGACTTTAAATGTGACTTTTATACCAATGTGTAGCAAAAATTTGTCTCCAGGCTTCACTTCTAATGTACCACAGACTAGTGTCACAACTATGTATTTATTTTATTTGATGTCTCTACCAAGGTATCATAAATTGTTCAAAATTAACTTCCTGATTATATTCCCCAAAACACAATCTTTCCATTACTCTCCATAGCAGTTGTTAGAAATTCTATTCTTCTGATTGCTTCGACAAGATAGCTTGACGTCATCTGTGATTTCTTTCTTACTCTCACATCACTCATCTAATCAACCAAGAAATCACCTTACATCTATTCTTAAATTTATGTTTAGGAAAACATTGGATTTAACAGGCTTTAATACCAAATGCATTAAATTTTAATAACCTTTTCAATTAGAATAATTACTTATGGAACATAAGATAGTCAAAATGCCTAAACATACAACGAATATGTTTAAGCTGTAATGTGTCATCATTAAAATGTAAGCACTCTTTCTGTTTTTAGGAAAGGCTTATGCTCCAGAATTCTATTATGACACCTACAACCCTGTGTGGCAGAACAGGCATCGTGTTTATTCTTACAGTCTGCAGTGGACTCAAATGAATCCTGATGCAGTGGATCGCATTGTTGCATATCGCTTGGGTATTAGGCAGGTGAGAAATTTAATTGTGCTTTATTGTGCATTTACTTTTTTGTGAAGATCATATTGCTGTAATTTTCTACTTATTCTGCATGAATTATGTATTATGTTTTATTAGTAGTATATACAAAATTGTTCTTAATCCCTGACAAGTATTTTAAATTAACTCACACATTTTCTACCATTACAGCAGCAATATTAAAGCAACATCATAAGGGCTTTCTGAAATCCTTCATCACTACATATATTGGAGAAATGATACGGTATAATTACTAAGGGAGGAAGTTTATTTAAAAGATCTTACATTAACCTTTAGTGTATAACCTTTTGTCTTATTTCTTAAGAAGCTAAATATCTTATATATTCCTATTCTAAGGTATTCAGAGAATATATGTTCCAAAAATTAATTTTATATGTGCCAAGAATAAAAAATATTTAAGTTAAAAAAAGAAGATCAACTGAATTATCGTTTCCCAAAGCAGTTTAGTTCTAGTGACAGAGTGTGTAGAGAATTGCACTGCCAGTAAAGGCAGTTTGGATCTACTAGCTGCTCTATGGGTAAAGATAAGCAGTTTTTTCCCATGCAATATACAGCCTTTGAAAACCTGATAGTGGGTAAGATCCAGGTCAGTTTAGACTCCAGGACAGTGAACAACAGGAGAGTTGAACATTATGTAGGAGAAAACCCAAATAGTTTCCAAATGAGCTAATGTTAAACATTCTAATTCTTCATTGTAAATCAAATTTTGAAAATTAAGTGTAGACTTTTACATCTTTTCTTGTTAGGATATTATCTGATGATTTCAGAATAACAGAATATTTTTAAGAGATATTTGATTACAATATAAGATATTAGTTCTTCTTAACAATTTTGTGTTACTTACAATTGTGCAAAAAACGTGTTCTGCTTTTTATGCTGTATCACAAAACAAAATTTCAGACAGCAAAAGGATAAAATTTGCTTGAACAAAGAGTCATCAACCATAAACAACAGTCCATTCAACTATACTGTGATTAAACCAGTTCTTTTCTTTCATGTCCACACAATAAAAAAAAAGACCTTGATAATTGAATATTTTTAATGTACATGAGTAAGCTCTGGTGACTTCTTGTTTTTAGGTGCCACTGTGTCAATGGAACTCATAGCAAGCAACCCTATGAACAACAGATTTGAAACCCTGTGTCATCCTCATCATCTTAGACACACTTAAGTCCAATTCTGCAGCCACTGTGTCAAATCAGTCTCTTTGAAGGTCTTTCTCTCTTTCCCTGACCCTCCACCTATCCAAGCATAATGTCACTTTCCAAGGAATAGCCTCTCCTAGCAACATGTCCGCAGTCAGTGAGACAAAATTTTGTTATCCTTGCCTCTGAAGGGCACTCTGGCTGAACTTTTCTCAAGGAATTGTGCTGCCTGTGGAAAAGTACATAGTTTGGGGTCAAGAGGGACACACACAAACACACACACACACACACACACACACATATTTCAAAAAAACCCAAACAAACAAATCATTTTAAAAAAAGCACATGGTTTAAATCCACCTGCTACTCCATAGGAGAAAGATAGATGATCTCTTGTGCTATTTACAACCCTCAAAACCCACTGGAAAGTCAATTCTGGGTTTGTTCTGACTCTGTGGTACACAAGAACAATAACAATGTATATGTGTAATAATTAGATAGTGAAGTTTTTTTTGTTCATCGTTTAAGAGATTTCTTTGTGTCTCAGCCCAGCCCCTAACAACAACATTCTTATTTTGAGCCTATTTACCTAAGAATTTCTTAGAACCTAAAATATCTGTTATTTTCTAGTGGAAATATTTCTGCTTTTACAATAAAACATAAACTTAATTCATCAATATATTCATATAATAAAGTCTAAAAAATAATTTTGGACCTTTAGGACTAACTAATTGCAAACCTAGTTCTAAAGAACTCTACTTGACTTTTATTTGAGAAATGGTTAAACCTTTTGTTGTTATTACTAAATAAAATTATAATATTACTGTTATGTTATTGCATCCACAGTTGTATGGAGTTGGTAAACTAAGTATATAATTCCTTTCAGCTTTTTGGTAACGTTGTTGTTCTTGTTGTTATATGCTGTCCAGTCCACCTGCATCTCATAGCAACCCTATGTACAATAGCCCTAAACCCTGCTCTATCTTGTGCCAATCGTATTACCCCAGTCACCGAATCAATCTATCTCCTAGAGGGCCTTCCTTTGCTCTGCTGTCCATCCACCCTCCCAAGCATGATATTCCTCTCTAAGAACTAGTCCCTCCTTGCAACATGTCTAAATTATGACAGATGAAGCTTCACAATCCTTACGTCCAAGGAGCAGCCTGGTTTAACCCTCCCCAGTATGAACCTGTTTGTTCTCTTAACAGTCCATGGTATTTTCAATACTCTTTTCCAGCATCACTGCTCAAAGACATCAATTCTCCTTCTATCCTCCCTAGTCATTGTAGAGCTCTCTGATGCATAGCAAGTGATTGCAAAAACCATGGCCTGTATCAAGAGCACTTTAGTCTCCAGACTGACATCATTGCTTTTCATTAGTGAATGAAATTTTGATAAAATTATATTGGTGATGTGCAAATATGATGACATACTCAGATGTCAGTATTATATATACTTTTCTTATGAAAGGCTCTATGTGTCTTAAATAAGAACAACAAAAAGATGTTTTAAAATACTAAATTTTAGAATTAATAGTTCCTGAAACTTAAAAAGAGTTTAAGTTATATGAGAAGTTAAAATATTAATTCATGGAAAAATGATTTTTCAAAAACTTAATGTCTTAATTATACTTTCTAGGCTCAGATAAGCAATTGTTTAATCTCCTTAGACCGCCACTAGCCTTTCAATTATTTGCTTCATTTGTTGCTTAACAGGAAAGACAAATAAAGGTTATTAGAATGTTTGCCTACCTTGATATCTAAGGAATTAAGAAACTTGCAAAATTGTATTCCAAGTTATCTGAATATAATATAGACATCATGTCACATTACTTTAAATATGCATAATTATGATTTATAACAGACTGTTATACAGTGTATTTTTTTAACTCTACTATACCAAGCCAAAGGTGGGTGACTTGAATTTGCGGGCCTCAGACCTGTTTTTAATTGTTTTTTTGTCAAACATTCTTCTAGGTCGTATAGCCCTGGTGTGTCCACTGCTGTATAGAAGTAACTCATGATTGCTGTGAAGCTGAACACTGTAACACTGATGTGTCAAATGTGATAATGGTTACCCATGGTGGGCAGTGTTTGGTGGAGCTCCCCTATTAAAACAAGCTTGTAAGCAGGAGTGGCATCCACTTCCATAATAGCTTGCCTCCGGAAGCCCTATGAGCCTCGAGAGAGGATGAAAGTCACACAACTGTTGAAGACTTTGATTCATAGGGTTACTATGAGTCTCCTATGACTCAACGGCACTTAACAGCAACATAAAGAAGCTGGGTTCGTTCTATGAGCAGGAATGTGGATCAGTATTAAAGGAAGGCTCATTGAAAATCTGCACTATGCAGATGACACAACCTTGCTTACTCAAATTGTGGAGGACCTGAAGTACTTGCTTCAGAAGGTCAAGGATTGCAGCACTCAGTATAGATTAAAGCTCAATATGAAGAAAACTAAGATTCCCACCACTGGGCCGGTTAGCAGCATCATGATAGACAGTGAAGAGATTGAGGTTGTTAACAGCTTTAGGTTGCTTGCTCTACAATCAACACTCTTGAATTGCATTTGGAAAGTCTGCTGACAGGAACATCTCCAGAATACTGAAGAGTAACAATGTCAGTATGGAGACTAAAGTGCACATGATCCATAACATGGTCTTTGCAGTTATGTGCTATGCATCAGAAAGCTGGACAATGACTAGGGATGATAGAAGTGGAATGGACACCTTTGAACTGTGGTACTGGAGAAGAGTATTGACTATACCATGCACTACTAAAAGAACAAACAGGTTCATCCTGGAGAGAGTGAAACCAGGCTGCCCCTTGGAGTCAAGGATCCTGAAGCTCTGTCAGACATACTTTTGGCAGGTTTCAAGGAGGGACCAGTCCTTGGGAAGCTTGAGGGACAGTGCAAGAGAGGAAGACCTTTGATGAGATGGACTGACTTACTGACTGGGGTAATGGGGTAGTTGTGTCAGAAACAATAAGGTTGGCTCAGGATAGAGCAGAGTTCAGAGCTATTGTACATAGAGTCACTATGAGTTGCAGGCAACTTGGTGGCACAGAACAACAATAAGAATAAAGAAGCATAAGGGATATTATTTTTTTGTGTTTCATCTTTGAAACATAGTAAATTGTCTTAGTGTTGTTGTGCTGTTGTTGATTGCCTTCGAATCAAGAATGACTCATAGCAACCCTATGAAGAAAAGGTCTGAAGTGTTTCTATAACTATCATTGTTTCTCAAAGTTCATCGAGTTTCCAGAGGCATGTTCTTTAGGAAGTAGACGTCACTCCTGCTTCCAAAAGTTCTGATCTATTAAAATGCTGAGAAGTATCATATTTATTTGATTATCCATTCAAATTAAGCATACAGTAAAGACTAGCATTCAAAAAGGAAAATGAAATATTGTCCTTAAATACCTAGTTAAAATAATTTGTTGTTGTTGTTGTTGATTGCCATCGAGTTGAGCATGACTCATAGCAACCCTATGAACAAAACACCTGAAGCTTTTCTATAACTATCATCATTTCTCAAAGTTCGTAGCATTTCCAGAGGCATGTCGTTTAGGAAGTGGATGCCACTCCTGCTTCCATTTGCTTCCATAAATATTATAGTCAAGATACTTCCATGAGGCAGTTCCACTCTGTCACATGAGGTCTTTATACATCTGAGCTGAATGGACCAGAAAGCTCCATCAACCACGCCCACTTTGGTGTTCTTAGGGTCCTACCCTTTCCCTTTTCCTCTTCTATTCTCAAGACTCTCCTGAATGACCATATTTGCTCTCATGACATCAGTTACCACTTGGAGGCTGATTACCCC